GCAATCCACTCACCTCACCCTCCTAAAGTGCTGGGATTACAGGCTGAGCCACCAAGCCTGGCCTAAATTATATTTTAAAATTATATTTTAAAATCTAATATATGGCAAGAAGAATATTAACAAAAACAATATATAAATTATATTAAAGTTGCTTTTTTACATTTAAGAAACCAAACTCTATTTTGAAATTGAGAACTTCAAAAATTCTAAAAACAGAATTTTGAATCACTTTTGCCAAAATTAAAAAAAAATTTATAAATCCACATATAATTTAGCTTGTTATACTAAAAACAGGATTTTTTTTACTTGCCCCTTCCCAAATTATTTTTTAATTCTTTGCAAATCTATCATTTATAATATCAATCTTACCAATTTAACTTATTTAATTATAAAATTCCTGAAAAAGTAAATGAATAACCATGAAGAGATTATTAGTATAAAATGTGTGATCCACTAATACCTATTTTTAAACTCTATTATGAACATAAGCAAATGACTTTAAATTGCATTTATATTAGGTACATACATAAACGCCTCTTCACGTCAGACATCATCTCAGACAAAGGTACTGATCATCTCTTGCTACACTCTGCATTTCAGTCAAAAATACATTAAAAAATTTAAAGAACAGAATATATACTTTATTTTTTGTGCTTTGCAATTAAAATAATACCACCACCTTGAACTTATAAAGTATATTTGGACATCTTTAGCACCAACATTTTTTATACTCGGTTAAGTAGAAAACATAAAATTGATGTAAAATTTCTTAAGTCAATGATAGATATTTCTTTTGTATAAAGTATTATTTTTATAAGTTTTAGAATTTTAGCAAATAATTTCCATTCAATGAATTCTTCCATTATATATTATGCTTCTTGATATTTAAAAATTTTAGAATTTTAACATCTCAAAAACTAATTTGCTCCCTCTTACTAGAGTGAAGGTACTGATATCATGTATGTCTTTCATGGTAGATATTTATCAGACATAATAGACTTCTGCTGAATTTACTAATGTGATTTTCTTCACCTTTGTAGGAAATCATATATAAAAACAGAATAAAAGTTACCATAAAAGGTCATAAATATGGTCTTTGGATATGGGGGACTGAATGCGGAATCATGCCTATCTAGGAATTGCAGGTAATGCACCAGCTGGAGCCTATTTCCCAATGCAGAACCATCCTTTTGTTGTTAAAAAACGCTGAAAGGTGCCATAAATTGCACATTTAAAAAGCCTACAGTGATTGAGACCCATTTCAGATTCAGTAAGTAATACTTCAAACCGTTTATGCTGAAGCAAAAATAAATCAAGAACATCTAATATTGCAAGTAAAAGGTCATCAAGTTTCTCTGAAAAATCTACTGTAAACAACAAATATTACAGAAGTCAGAAAACCTCATAAACTATCTTCATAAGATAGTATTGAGACATTATTGGACAGCGTTATAGTATCAACATAAGCTGTTTTGTGAAATGTCAAAATGTTTTTTCAAATCTTCAGCATTCTTTTTAATAAAACAATTTTCTTTTCCTAATTATAAAAAAAAGAAAATGTGAATTTTTTTCTTTTCTACCCATTTTGTTTTCCTCAATAGCTATACATTTGGTTATAGAATATGCCACTTTCTACATATCCTTCTTAATCCTTAAACAAAGTTAAGTTTTGTTCCAGGCAAAGAGCATCAAATAGAACCTACACATTAGAATGTAGCACTGACTCACTAACTCATGCATGCTCCTGTGTAGCGAAATGCCCTGTCTGATGGGCATATGTGATGCTGTCTATGCTCAGAATGTTACACTAGCAGATTATCCACATCTTAATTTTTTTATCTGCTTATTACATAATTGCATCTTTTTCACATTTAATGATTAGTGCCCAGGGTAGGAAAAGACAGAGGAAAGTCCTTTATGGCAACCTTTTTTGTTTTTAAATTCATATAATTAGTGGTATCTGTAGAGCAAATAAGCTTATTAAACACTGTTTCTTCTAGGTAAACAGTATATAACAAAGTCCCTCAAATTCCATGTTAATAACTGAGGAAAATTAAAAATCATAAGCCATCCCTGGACAATCCTTTTCTACTACTGTCAAATTAATCAGAAAAAATGTTTAGGCATATTTAATAGAATAAAGAAGGTAAGTCAATCTCAGAATCATCCCTATCTCATCTCAATATCTGCTTGCTGGATATCTTTTATTTCAAATGATGGCTTCATGACTAATTATTCCTGGGAAATGAGCATTCAAAAATATATTTAAAACGTCTTAATCTAACCTCAAACTTGGGTTTAAACAGATTTGAGGGGAAAATGCTATCTTAGAAAACCCTAATGCTCAATAGATTACTTCTGTTTGAATTGAAATTTTTGACCTTTAAGTTGGGATGGTAATAAATATGGTACCTACACAGAAAATGAAACAGCAGTTACCACATTCTGAACCCCTTCTGTATACCAGGAGCTGTGCGGGACACAGAGACTAAAACATCTCATTTAGATCTCAAAGGCAGCTAAACAAAGGAGGTACAAATCTCTCTCTCTCTCTCTCTCTCTCTCTCTCTCTCTCTCTCTGTGTCTTTCTGTCTCTCTAAGTCATTGCCAAAACTCCAGTTTTGGAACACTCAATACCTTACCTAAGACCAAGTAACATATAAGGGTCTGGCTTTCAGCCCAGATTTCATACACGACTAACTTATAAAACCTTCCAATAGTCTATAGCTTAAGAAACAACTACACAAATAACAGAAACTTAGGTAATAGAATACAGCATCATTTTTGGCTGTCATTTATAACTAAACTGGATAATTAGCACAGAATACACTATAATGATGAGAATACTGGTTATGCTTCCTACTCTTAAAACACATTAACCTAAAAAAGAATAGCTTCAAAATAAGTATTATTTTGTTATATAAACACACACTAAAATATGTCAAAAGGAAGTTAAGTGACTTGCCCTAGAGTTGTGCATAAAACACTACAGTAAAAGAACTTGAGCCCAGAACTTGCCTCATTCAGCCTACAATAAAGCATTTCTTTTCCACTCTTCTTCTTCAAAACAATTTTTTTTCAAAATATCATAGAGATTTGAAAAGCCATTTAACGAAAACAACAAAAGTGAACAAAAATAATATAAAGAATTTCAGTTTGATTATAGACTAAACTAGTAAGTTTGAGCTTTATCAGATTGTTGTTTTAGTGAAAGAAATATAAGATACAAAGATATCACACAGCAAGAACTGAAGTGAAAGACTGAGGGTGAGAAAAAAAAGAAAGAAAACTTGAGAAATTTTGTAGGGAAAATGTACAGATAGAGGCACAAAGGTTTGAAGGCTTTGAGAAGAAAGCAGTACAGCAGACAAGTATACAGGCCCTGGCTCAGGTCCACTGTGTGCGCAAGAACGCTGCCATTACCAGCCGACGGACTTTGGATAAATCACTTTTTTTTAGTTTCCTAATTGCTAGAGTGAGAATAACAATACTATCTATAAAGGTTGTAGTGAGGATTAAATGTTATACGACATGTAAAACTTAACACTGAGCCTAGCACATCATTGCTGTTAATTACCATGAGGAAAAGCCAGAAGAGGAAAATGCAATAAGCATGGCCTCGGGTTTGTGTACACAAAATCTGCTGGATCTTTTCTAACTATAGTCATATTCCAAATGAAAAAAATAAAAATCTGATTCCCAAATAACATGCATAAGATGAAGGTTTTATTTAGGACATCTGAAAAACTAGCAGTGCTATGTTTCCTTCAACTTTATGTTTTCCTTGAACTGGTCTTAACTTAAAAGGCACACTTCAGTTTATCCAAGATGCCACTAGAAAACAGAGGGAATGTAAGACAAGCTACAGAAGTAATAAACAATTAGATGCTGATTACCAAACAAGTAAGCTGTTGTTCTAACTATTGTATTAAACGGAAGCAATGTCTACTTTTGATATAGAGAATATTATTTTATTATTTATTTTAAACCTTTCTTACATGTTTAAAAATATACAGGGGTTCAGAACAACCTCAGTAAAATGACAACATTTCTACTAAAGAACTTCTGAAGTCAAACCACCAGTGCACAAACATGGTTGGCTTCTAACTTGAAGAGTCATAGGCACATATCATTAAATGCATTTCATAAAACAAAGAAATCAAAAATGCTGAGAAGAAAAATACTCCATAGTTTGATATAAATTTTAAAATATCTTTCAGGCAAAAACTTATGATAAAAAAGTAAGATTTAGATGTTTTACTGCTCATACCTTCAGTACCAATTCCCCAAATGCCACTTTGCTACATCTAAACCCCTGACAATTTATTACACCCAGGTAGCACACTAAAAAATAAGTTAATCTCTGCATGTGAAAAACAGGTCATTACAAAAGAAAATACTGACAGCTCTTATCTGTATTTGATAATTAAGTATATTATATTCTCAGCGGCACTAAAAATGCAGCTTTGTCTAATATAAATATCTAAATAACAACTACACAAAAGTATTTTTCTCTTAAAATAAGTTTTTGTATATACTTTTTCCAGTGTTGACAACTTAAACAACATTGGTCTATATATTATGCTAAGAAAACATTAGGCACAGATCACATAGTTTACATTTTCTTTGCTATAAAAAATATACATGTGCAAACACATATCACATAAATGACTAGAGGACACAACAGTAAAGCTACTATAGGCCTAACACAAAAAGGTTAATGATTTATTTATTTACTTATTTATTTTTTATAAGGACATTCCAAGTAGCATTAAGAGTGATATCTCACTGTTGAATATCTTGTATCTACATTAGAATTACTTGTGGGTTTTCTTAATGAAAAAAACAAAGGTATCCCATAGTGGTGGGGGTAGGGGGGTGAGGGAGTGGGAGAGTGGGGAGGACTCTGACAGGAAGAGGGAGGGGGGAGGAAGAAGGAGGGAGGGAGGGAGAGAGGGAGGGGGAAAGAGAGAGAACACACATCACATTTAGGCACATGAACTAATTTTTTAAAAATAATATAAAAATATTTCCAAAAGCCATTAAAAATATTTAACAGGCTACCAGATTGCTTTGTTGGAAGGACTAAATTATTTAACATTATGAATGCTTTATACAGTAGATTCTTTCATTAGCTAAGACATTTCTGAAGTAAGGTATCAAAGAGTGCAGAGCATGAAAAAGAGAAAAAAGCAAAAACAGGCTGTTAGGAAAAGGAGAGGAAGGAAATGTCATTTTACCCAGAAGAAACAAAAATATTGTCTCTGTTTGTAGCAGAAAATTTGTGCAGCAGAGATTATAAAAACACAAGCAAGGGGGCTGTGTGGCAAGTAATAAAATATAACGCTTACTGTAGACTCTCCATGAAGAGACCACTTAGGGATTGTAGATTACTTTGTGCAAAAGTACACTTTGATGTAAAAGATGACACTTTGCTACATATATACTATGTAGCATTTTTCTATAAAGGGCAATTTATGTAAGTGATGGCTTCCACAAACACAAAGAGTAAAAGAACAGAGGGAGACAAAACTAGAAACAAAGAGAAGTAGAGAGGACAGTCAGACAGGAAGATAGAGAAATGCCGGAGGGGCCTGCACATGTCCTGCAGAAGATCTGAGATACTTTATTTCATCCTCAGTGCTTAATTTTCCCTATTACTTCACATTCTTACCCACACGCTAGAATTATTTCAAGAGATAACCCTCTATACAAGCTTTCCTTTAGTTTCTTCCATGAAAATGAAAAAAAAAAAAAACCCAAAAACTCTAGTCTCATCTTTCATTTAATAATCAACTATTTAAGTAAATATTTCCCTGGTGGCAAATTCCCAAATGAATTACAAATATGATCCAAAACCACTGTCAGGTTACATTTGATTTACTATGTAGTCTCTTCAAATGGAGCAGGAATTAGCCCGTTTCCTAGGCTTGGGGTCTCGTGTTTCCTGTTCTTTCATACACACACAAGAGGTACACATTGTCTCAGACAGTCTTCGGAGGCCTAGCCGGAAAACACTGTTGGAGAGGCTGTATATCACACAGTTACAAAAACTGTTACTTATAGCAAGCCAAGTTGTTAAGAAGGACAGTGTCGGGTTGTCCAAGACACGGGAGCTTTCTAGAAGAAAGTAAATGATATAGGGGAGCCAAAGCATGTAAAACACACTAGTTATCCTGAATAAAACCATGGCGTAGCGGCGGTCAGGGCTGTGTCCTGTCTCCCTAGAAGTATCTACTTCATGACTTGGGAACCGGGCCCTTCGGTCATTTATCTCTTTGGTGTGCTGCCGGCAAATCTTGAAAATGTGGAAGTAAGTGAAGCAGACAACAAGGGCAGCAGGAGCATAAAGTAAACAAACAATAAAGCCAGTAAAATAGGCACTGGTGAGCCAAGAAGTGGCACACCATTCAAAAATGTCACCATGGTAACCAGGTTTCCCCCAGCCAAAAAAGGAAGGCAAGAAAATTAAGCAGGAATAGATCCAGATTAAAATAATGCAAATTCTCAGGCGACAAGGGGTGACCAGTTGATTGTAGGAAAGAGGCTTGGTTATTGCTAGATAGCGATCCACACTGATACAAGCAAGACATGCCATAGAAACACTTTTCAGAACTGAGATGATATATCCAAAAACCTGGCAAGTCAATGACTCGTGGACACCTGTGGAGTAGTGGAGAAGGGAGAGAGTAGGAACCAGGCAGCTCACTCCAACGAAGAGATCAGCATATGCCATCGTCTGAATGAAATAGCTGGTAGTATAATGATGTAAGAGTGGAGCACAATGAAAGACAAAGATAACTGTCAAGTTCCCAGCAATGATGAGAAATGTCAGCAAGACAATCACAACTGTCTCGAAGATACAGACATCCACTGCACTGTAGTGGCCAAATCCAAGTGGGCAGGAGTGACGCTCAGACACATTCACAATGCCACTGCTCATGTTCAGGATCCTCCATTCTGTCCACCTGGAGTCATTCATGGCTTGGAATTAAAGAAGCCTGAAGTCCTGGCTACAGCTAGCAGGTGCCCTGCCCAGCATCTGTTACACTGCACATGAGTGTTTCAGAACCTGCTTCAGTAGACAGTGTCAGTGCTTCTGTCTCAGCTGAGAGTCCCAGAGAGTGCTCAAGTCTCTTCATCAGCCTCTGTGCAGCAGTGACACACCTCAGTTTGTTTTTTTTTTTTTGAGGGGGAAATGGAGGGGTGAAAGCTAGAAAGGAGGTGAAAAGAGGTCACTGATTAGCTTCCTCTGATGCTCTCAAAGAACTTTTTTGTAGACACAAGGCACTTCTAGAGAAAATGGATTTCTTTTGATCTTGTTATATGAAAAATTAAATCTGTAAAAAGAAAAAAATAAATTGCCAAGGAAAAAAAAGCTTCTGTTGGCTGTTTGTTCTCCCAAGAGAGGTAGTTTCTTAGCAATCAACTAGAAAGAAGGAAAAAAGGAAAAGTCTTAAATTGTCTTAGGCTTCTTGCTTCATCTATGATAAAAAAAATGCATTCATATTTTAGAAACTAAATAATTAAGATCTCATATTTGATTGACAGCTAAGAACAAGTTCATAGTGGCAAGGAGTGTCTTTGGGCTCAGTTCAGGGTTTGATGCTGATGGATCAACTTTATAATCAATTTCTCATTTTTTTAATCTAAGAAAAACTGTATTGAGATTAATTTGAGAAGACTCATCTCTATATAGGCAAGATAGGGCTAACAAACAGACTTCAGATTGCCCTATAACTCTCAAGAGAAAAAAAGTATTTTTTCAATAGGAAAACAATGAATTAATGAATTAACAACCAAAAAATATGAATTAAAGTTTTAATTCTGCATGCATTTTTAAGCATTTAAAAGAAAACCACTTTAGTCCACTACAGTTACCAGTGCTATTAACAGCAATGTTAATTTAGTCCTCTTTCCCTTCAAAATGAAATATTTTCTGCTATTAATTTGGCATCTATAACTGAAAATAACTTTCATTATTTGATATGTCACCTTCCTCATAATGGAGCATGATAATAAAATATAGAGCTCAAAGTTATTTCTTACTTTTGCAACCATACCCATATCTCACATAAATATGTAAATATATATGAAATTTAGACAGTAATGAAAACTTTCCTATACACTATTGAGCCTGTTAGACTAAAAACACTGCCATTATTTATTACTTAGGTGTTTCCAGTAGGCTTCAGATTCTATTTTGCTATGTCTTTTCTATTTTCAGTAGATGATTAACACATTAAATCATGACTTCAACTAAATCTTTTGAAAGTGGAAAATTACCTTGTTTATTATCTTTGCAGTTATGTAGAAGCCATATGTTAAGAAATGCCTCTTCTGTTTCTGTATTCTATTTTGAGCAAGTGCTCAATTAATACAGGGGCCATTAGGAAGGTTGTGAGATAGTCTTGTTTTAATATACCTCTAAAGCATCAAGATGAGTTTAAATCCTAGAGTTTGAAATACTAAAAGGCCGGCAGGATAGAATCCACCCAAAAGGCTTCCAAGGTCATTCTGATACCAGGTTAGCATTTGTTCAAGTCTTTTCCAAAGTAAAGGTATTTCAGAGTCTCTTGTCAGTCTTTGTTGTCATACATTTTGAAGAAATAACATGCACTAGAAATAAAAACATTTCCTCCAGGAACAATGCAGCAGCTTAACAGAAAACATTCTTCTGAAAGTTATTTTCTCGTGCACCACCAAGTCATTCATGCAAGTCCTTCTTCTTGTGTAATAGCCATCGGATATTTCTCCTTGTACATTCCTAATTTCACTTATCACAAAATAGTTCTCTTGTTACAGAAAAAAGGCAATGCTTCTCACCTACATTCACTCTTATCAGCTGCTAGGCTGGGCTGCTTGATTCGGAAGTCCGATTTACTGTGATGCAGTTACAAGGATGCAGTCAGTATATTCTTCACAATCTTTCAGCATCAATGCCTCCACCTGAGTCTGAGCCCTGCTCCTCCTCCTCCTCATCCTGGGCTGATGCAGAAGAACTCACCATCAGAAAGGTGACTCGGTCCTCCTGCCCCAATCAACAGCACAGCCAATGGCTACTGCAGCTGAAACTGTCACTAGGTAACAGTTGCCAGGCACATGCAGGCTTATAGACTTACTCGGCAAGCTCCGATCAAGATTGACAAAAGAAGACAATGAAACTGGCCAATTCTTATAGCATATTAATGGCAATTATAAACTTCTGGAGGCATTCTCTTTACAGCATTTGTAAGGATTGATTCCTATGGACATGGCAGGGAAAAAAAAACTGGCATACTCCTTTAAACCCTGTAGAGAAACTACCCCAAGGTACTATGACACTAAAAAGTCAGCAGTAATCTAATGCTCGTTGGCAGAAAAAACATATTAATTATTTAAAAATCACCAAAGTCTTCATAAACTCAAATGATATAAGTACTATTATTGTCTATAAAATATATAAATATTTTAATTAATAGAAGTTAAAAATCATTTACTAACCTCTCCAATCCCTGTCACACCTACACAAAATTGCTGAGTTTGATTATTTAACTGTACAAACAAAGTAGTGGAACTAACATTACTATACTAAAATCTATTCAGAGAAATATTTAAGGTCAAATATGATTTCAAAAGAGTATAAGTATTAGAATAAATAGAAACTTGCTTAGTGTACTTTTTAACCTAATATGAAAAAAGGGTCAATTGACCAAAGAAATTTGTCCTAAGTGCTACACAAACTCAAGTTAGAAGAAAGCAAATTAAACTCAAATATTTGATAAAAATTAACAACATTTCTGCTTTATTTGACTTACTACACACATACATTCATTATTTAAACATATTTCTTATGGGGTCAGCACTTTTCCTAAAAGTGACTTAAAACTAATTTACAAATTATTTCAGAATAAAACACATCAGAAAAATTAAGGTAAAAATGGAAGATAACTAACATTTGTTGAGCACATGCTATGATTTCTAGCACTGAACTATATGCTTTATATATTTTTTCTCTACAAAACCTTAAAACTCTATGAAGTAGACATCATCATTATCATTTTCCAAATGAAGAAAGTGGGTACTAGAGAAAGTAAGTATACAATTATACTAACCTACAGTTATAGAGATGTAAAACTGGGATTGAAAAAGGTCAAAATTATCCTTCTTAGAATATCATTTTTCTTAAAAATGCCACCCTCTGCTTTCTACTGATGGTTGTCAGTAAGAAAATATCTTAGAAGAATTATTTCTGCTATCATAAAAATGATCTCTATCAGATCAAAAATCTTTTTTTACTACTGAAACTAAAAATCAACAACAAGAAGAACTTTGAAAACTATTTACAAATACGTGAAAATTAAGCAATATTCTCCTGAATAACCAACGGGTTAATGAGAAGCTCTTGAAACAAATGAAAAATGGAAATACAATACACCAGAACCTATGAGATACCGCAAAATTTACACTAAAATGGAAGTTTATAGCAACAAATGACTACATCAAAAATGTAAGAGACTTCAAATAAACAATCTAATGATGTACCTCAAAGAACTAAAAAAGTGAGAACAAACCAAACTCAAAATTAGAAGAAAATAAATAAGATCAGAGCAGAAATAAATGAAGTTGAGACAAAAAAAGAGGTCAACAAAATCTATAAACCTTTAGCTAGACTAAGAAAAAAAGAAGAACCAAATGAATAAAATCAGAGATAAGAAAAGAGACATTACAACTAATACTAAAGAAATATAAGTCTGATCATTATAGACTATTATGAAAAACCAAATACCAGCAAATTGGAAAACCTATAAGGAATGAATAAATTCCTGGACACATACAACCTGCCAAGATTGAACTATGAAGAAAGAGAAAACCTGAACAGAACAATAACAAGTAAAAAGATTGAAGAGCAAAAAAAAAATTCACCCATCCAAGAAATATCCAGAATCTGATGGCTTCACTGTTGAATTCTACTAAACATTTAAAGAAGTAATAATAATTCTACTCAAACAATCCCAAAATATCGAAGAGAAAGGAATACTTCCAAACTAATTCTATGAAGTCAATCAGCATTATCCTGTTTCCAAGACCAAACATGAACACAACAACTACATGGCAATATCCCTGATGAACATAGATGCAAAAATCCTTAACTAAATACTAATAAACAAAATTAAACAATGCGTTAAAATATTATTCACCATGACAAAATGAAATTCATCTCAGGGATGCAAGGATGGTTTCACATATGCAAATCAGTAAATGTGATATATCACATTAACAGAGTAAAGACAAAAACCATATGATCATCTCAACAGATACAGAAAAAGCAGTCAACAAAATCCAACATTCCTTCATGATAAAAACTCTCAACAAATTGACTAAAGAAAAAGCATACTTTACAAAACAATATAGGACATATATGACAAACCCTCAAGCTAACATATTAAATTGGGAAAAATTGAAATCCTTTTCTCTAATGTCTGAAACAAGACAAGAATGCCCACTTTTATCACTTGCATTCAACATAATACTAAAAGTCCTAGACAGAATAATTAGACAAGTGAAAGAAATACAGGACATCCAAACTGGAAAGGAAGAAGTCAAATTAGCCTTTTTTTTTTTTTTTTTTGAGTTGGAGTCTCACTCTGTCACCCAGACTGGAGTGCAGTGGCCACTCCCAGCCACTGCAGGCTCAGCCTGCTGGGCTCTGGCGATCCTTCCACCTCAGCCTTCTAAGTAGCTGGAACTACAGGCACTGGCTACCATGCTCGGCTAATTTTTAATTTATTGTGGAGATGAGGTCTCGCCAAGTTGCCCAGGCGGGTCTCGAACCCACGGGCTCAGGCAATTCACTCACCTCAGCCTCCCAAAGCGCGGGAGATGATATGACTGAATACTTAGAAAAACCCAAAGACTTCACCAAAAAGCTCTTAAAACTGATAAACAAATACAGTAAAGTTGTAGGATACAAAATCAACATACAAAAATCAGGAGCATTTCTATACATCAGCAGCAAATAATCTGAAAGAAAAAAATCAAGAAAGCAATCCCATTCACAATAGCCACCAAAAAAAAAAAAAAAAAAAAAAAAACAACAACACTCATCTAGGAATAAATTTAACCACATAAGTAAAATATCTCTACAAGGAAAACTATAAAACACTGATGAAAGAAAACTGAGAATTGCCATGAATAGTGCATCAAAAG